AAATTTGCTTTCTTTGTAGTCTTGACCCAAGCATGCATAAATAATCATGAAGAAATATCACAAAATCTCATAAAACCATAAACATTTATGTTCAATTCTAATAAAACCTCAAAACCATAATATACTTCTATATCAATTTCTTTTTTTCCAATAAATCTTGCTTTTCTATTTGCATGCATATTTTTTCATACGAAACACAAATTACAATCTGCTACTACTTTTCCCAGATATTTCATCAAACTTTACTCCTTCGCTCATTCGTCCTTCCCTCACACTGATTCCTGCTTAGTCTTCGCAATCTCTTGCAACAACTTTACTTTGTCTTCGTTCTCCCTTTCCCTTAAATACTTCTGCATATAACAACTAAAATTTCTGGTTGATGAACTCATTTTGATTTACCGACACAAATGAAGATCTGCAATAACATAGCACTTGCATGCAACTTCATCTTAGATATTCTAAAATTGCTAAATAGACAAACAATATAACCTACAATACTGTACAAACATGGTAACATGAACCGATTCACTATTTTCTACCCAGCAACAGATGATGTTGGTTTCTGCCTAGCTATGGCTGAAGATGAGATATTGGTAACTGAGATTTTCAAAAACGAATGAAGTATGACCAAAATGTAAATTCTAATGCTTTTTATAGTTACACTAATGAGTCTATTATTGTTTCCATAACTGATTGCCTTTTACACTACAAAAAGAATGTTTACTTTAGATATTGGTCAATTTTTTCACTAATGGGTCCATTTTTCCCCCATAATCGATAACGGGAGACTATTGGTTTATTACTATTTGTCTGACACATAAGCAATCATAAAAATTTCCTCCACATATTTAAAACATAAAAATAAATTATAAGTTATAAAATATAGTATCTTAATACTATATGTTTGAGAGAATTTTTTACCCAAATAACCCAAATTTTCAAAAAAAAAATCTCAAAATACCTCACTTTTCAAAAATATTCCCAAAGTACCCTAGTTAGAGTTGGTTCAAAGGTGTCATTCCAATTGACGACCCTTTGTTAAGGGCATAAGGGTGTCGCCAATTGGATTGGAGACACCTCATGTAGTCTCCAATCCAATTGGCGACTTGGTTATGGACTTAAAAGGGTGTCGCCAATTCATTTTGAGACATAGTGTATTTTGTAAATTGTTTACAAAAAAATAAATGATATTATCTGGAGATAGAGTGTATTGAGGAGTTGAAGTCTCAGGAACATTTCCAGATGGTTCCCTAAGGATTTCTTGCATTTCCATTAGGTCCTATGTGTTGAAACTGAGCGTTCGACCCATGCCAGAGTAGTTCAGATGTGATGAAAGGGTTATTAGTGTGTGGCCTGACGGTTGAAGGGGGCATTGGTGTGAATGATTCGTTGGTGAAAGGTTGAAATGGTAGTGGTGTTTGAAAGCCATAAGGTTGTTGAGATGATTGAATGTGTAGGCCAAAGTATGATGTCAAAGCATTTTGGCTATGAAAAGATGTTTGGGCGTTATGGTTATGGTATGATGTACCCTAATTATGGCTATATCTTGATGTTGTGTTAGGGCCATATCCATATTGAATTTCTGGGTAGTAGTCAGTGTGTTGGAGATGGTATGTGGGATGATCTTGGTAGTGTGGTTGGGTGTTTGGCATGTTTGGATGGTTAATGGGTTGGCAATTCTGTTGGGTAGGGGTTGTGAGTAACATGGTCTTTCTGGTGGGTTAGACGTTGAAGCTTCTTGTGTGTAGGTGGCTTGGCGTGGATCGTATAAATACCTGTCTTCGGAGACAAACCCAGTTGCAACTGATCTGTACCAAGCCATATAATTAATAGTTGGTATATACGGGGTTGTGATCACTGGATCACGTAAGACATGGGAGTTGCGGTTCATTAATTTACGACGCTCAAATTTTGCAAAATCCTTCCAGTCGGGAAAGTCCCATTGATCATTAACTCTTTTTAGATGCCATTTACTGATGTCAACATGACGATCTGAGATGTTTTGATGCATTCTAAATTGTAGTTTGACACGGTAACTGTTGTGCATCTCCACAGTTGTGAATCTGATGATCGGGACGCATGTAGTCAAAACGGCAACATCTTCCTCTCTGACTTCATGTAGGTGTTCCATGTTTAGATATGGACGCCATATGAACTGAAGAAGAGAAAAATATTAGATCATAAAATAGTTTATATGAAATATAAATTGATTTGTTTAGAGGCCTTACATCTGCAGGTGTTAGGTGATCCAACAGATTGCGGTATTGAATGATACAATGTCTAGGGCATCTATTGTAAGTCATATCCTTAACTGACCATCTAAACCACAAAAAGTTCAAATTCAATTAGTTAGAAACAATAATTAGTAAGGTGAAATATACAAATATTAAGTTAGTAACTTACTTTTGTTCATACATGAAGGAAAAGTTGTTGTGGTTGACGAGCGTTAGGGATGACAATCTAGACCAACCCCATGTTTGGAGAAAAACGGCGCTTCTAGAAAATGTAAATGTGTTTTTTTTTTTGCGTACTTACACAAAGAGATATACAAATAAGACAGACAAATGGAACCCTAACTATACTCTCTTGTTTTAGTTAGGTCTCTCAATAAAGATAAATACATAATGTGCATAAAAGAACCAGTGCCCTCGGGAAATAAAAATAAACCAATTAAAAGCATAACATAACACCTAGTTTTTATTATTTTCATTTCTTCTGTAGAATCTTCATCTAATATAAAACCAGCGTACCATGATTTTAGGCGCGAAAGTAAGATACCTTGGCCTCTTGAGTTCTCATCTAGCAAGTCGGCACCCAAAAGTTCCTCACAAATTGAACCATGAAGGTTTGTTGTTCCATTGACCGCCTTACCATCAATATGTAAACCGAGTAATATGTACACGTCCTCTAAGGTCACGGTACATTCACCGGTTGACACAAAGATGACATGAGAAGAAAGAAAAGAGACGCCCAAGCAACAAGCGTATAAGAACCGAAATGGATACGGCTGATAAAATGATAAGATTGTGCAGTATATGTCATCAACCCGGACACAACCAAAAAATTATCCCAATGTCGGAGGCATATTTGCTTCATAATTTAGCTTATCGTTTCATTTGTTGTAACCAAATATTTTCATATATTAATGAGTCTTTGTTACAACGGTCTTAACAACAAATAACACTAACAGCACACACACACACATACTAATTTCATAAAACATAAAACATTAACTAGGTGATTACAACATTCTAACTGATTACAACAATCAAACTAATTTCATTCGGTCCAAACATGACTTCCCTCGCATCTTTGTCGGTCTTAAACACGAACTCATCCACGTAGCCGATTAAGTCTCTCGATACTACAAATATTTTCCCCTTCACTAATGTCTCCTTCCAACCATCGATTCAGTTCCCTCTTAAGTTGATTGAAACTTTGTATGTTCCAAAATAGCATGTCCATCAGAGGCTTCTCTAGACGACTTTTTTCCCACCGGCGATGATACATGTTATTAGTAGAACAAAAATATCAGATGAGATGTGGAAGTAAATGATCATAACACTTCTATTTATAGAAAAAAAATCAGTTTTTAAGAAGTCTACAGATGAATTAGAAACACTTTTTTAAGTCCATAACCAAGTGCCAATTGAATCGGAGACTGCATGAGGTGTTTCCAATCCAATTGGCGACACCCTTATGCCCTTAACAAAGCATCGCCAATTAGAATGACACCCTTAAATAAATTCAAATCCTAACTAAGATACTTTAAAAATATTTTTAAAAAATAAAATATTCTAAATTTCTTTAAAAAAAATTGAATTATTTAGAAAAAAAATTCTGTCTAAAAAGCACAACAAATGTAATTGAAAAAAGGGTTTTAAATTATGCATTGGAACTAGTTAATGGGATTTGACAATGTTTTAAATTATGCATTGGAATTATAACTGCATCTAAACGCAAGCAAACGCAAGCAAAATTTAAAAACAGTTGTATCAAATTATTAAACACATTAATTTTAACTGCATCTAAACGCAAGCAAAAAACAATCATTTCAGGAATTATTGTCTTTATACCTATACATGACATATTACTAAATATGTACTATTTTTATAAACAGTTGTATCAAACTATTTAAATTATAAATTCATTAATCAATGCGGACATAAGGACCTTTCTTTATACTTTTTGGGACAAAAGATGTATTTTCATTTTCTCTTTTCTAAAATCATTTAAAGTAATAGAATTATTAAACAATTTTTATTTTAATATATTTATATATAAATAAATAAATAATCAAAACACAATTAAACAAACCCTAATTATCTTTCTGCCAGTACAGCAGCAGCATAATGGCCGGCACAACTATCAGGCTGCTTATCATCGGGTGGAGTCTTTAACTAATCAACGACTTACGAATTGAAAGTGAGATAGATTTTCAACTGCAAGTAATTCAAAATATCCCTCATGATGATTTTCAACTTCTATAATAATAATAATAATAATAATAATAATAATAATTGATTGGAAGCGTTGACGGTGACTTTGATCTGTAATATTTTTTTAAAATTTATTTATATTAGATAGATTTTGAGGTGTACGTTTTCTAAAAAAAAAAGAATCACGTCATTTTGCATACTGAAGAAAAAGTTTCGACATAATATCAACAAGTTCCCCTTTGTTAAGTTGACTTTCTTTACTTAAAACAATTTAAAACCAGTTTCTTAGTAATAAGTAGCAGAGTATGTCGACACTATTACTACATTATGAATCTAATAATATAATCAACAAGTCAGATGAATGCAACAAATTCCTTTGTAGTCGTCGTCATTAAACCTCTGAATCTTCTTGTATTCATATTCAAAATCTATTGCTAAAACCAAAGGTAAAACAAATTATAACTTATCGTAGTTGTTATATATATTGCGTCGAATCAATAGTTCCATGCACAAACATTCTTTCGCTTCATCTATCTTTGCTCTTAGCTTCTAACCATTAAAATGGGATTCAAAATAAATATGCAAGTCTTTGTTTTTTCTATCTTGATTTTTCTCATAATCCCAACGCTAATAGTTGCCGAATGCACATGCGATGAGGAAGATGAAGATAGAAACAAATCCAAAGCTCTTCGCTACAAGATAGCAGCTTTAGTATCAATAATGGTTGCAAGTGCAATTGGTGTTTGTATACCACTACTTGGAAAAGTGATACCAGCTTTAAGTCCAGAAAAAGATATATTTTTTGTCATCAAAGCCTTTGCTGCTGGTGTGATATTATCCACCGGTTTCATTCACGTGCTCCCTGATGCTTTTGAGAATCTGACTTCGCCATGTTTGAAGGAACATCCTTGGGGTGATTTTCCGTTCACTGGTTTTGTGGCTATGTGCACCGCTATGGGGACTCTAATGATTGATACATATGCCACTGCTTATTTTCAAAACCAGAATTCTAGAAAAACACCGACACAAGTCAAGAATCATGAGTCAACCCCAGATGTAGAGCATGAAGGACATGTGCATGTTCATACTCATGCCTCACATGGTCATGCACATGGCCATATTTCTTCGGATCCATCATCAGAACTTCTTCGTCATAGGGTTGTATCACAGGTAATCATAGAACAGATTTAATTATTTTGAGTATCTATAATGTATCCGATTTAATTATATGTGTGTAAAATTCCTTAACATGCATATATTATAATTAAAACCTAATGAATTATGAGAAAAAGGAATATGTGTAAAATATTTTTATACTATTAAGAGACTGTAACTGTCCTGACTAAATATTATAATTGTATTGCATAATGGTGTAAAATTAGTTTATATTCACGCACTATTTTTAATCTCTCATAATTTATTCAATTTTTATTTTTTAACAATATCATAGCAAAATAATAAAATACACCTTTGATATATATATATATATATATATATATATATATATATATATATATATATATATATATATATATATATATATATATATATATTGAATAAATTGTGATGAATTGTTTCGTTATAGGTATTGGAGTTGGGAATTATTGTTCATTCGGTCATAATAGGAATTTCACTGGGTGCTTCAGAGAGTCCTAAAACCATAAGACCGCTGGTAGGTGCATTGACTTTTCATCAGTTCTTCGAAGGCATGGGACTTGGAAGTTGTATAACTCAGGTACTGTGTATATATAAAATATTTATCCTTAAGCTATTGATATGATTTTTTTTACTAATTAATTTAATAGTTTAAAATTCATTATTTAAAGATGAATAAGTATTTAAATAAGGGCGATGTCGAGTTCAAATCCACATTCAATATATGATGTCCATGCACAACTTGAGCTGCTATTGTTGAAAATAATTTAGTTCATATCAAGGTAGTTGAGAACGTACATGGGACCATTTGTTTGGTTTGGTTGGCGTGAAACATTTTATAGGTAAATTATGATTTTGCATCAAAATGAAAGGATAAGACGCTTTGAGATTTGACATTTTCAAACTTTGATTTCTTTATGAAGATTCAAATACTACATAAGTAGTGTTAACTTTTCAACAAAATGATTAAGATAAGATACTTTAAGATTAGTACGTATTTGACCTATGCATTTGTTAGTGGTGCCCTTGTTTGTTCCTATACCATATTTTCAAAAGATGACAAACTCCACTATTATATATTCAACCATAAATCATGTTTTGGAACTGCCTTATTGTATTCTCTTATTCTCTTTCTTACTTTGTTTGTAATGTCCCATATTTTAGCCTACTTTTCAGTGGTTTTATTTCCCAATATGTAAATGAATTGCCTTCGAGCTTACATGTTTCTCATAACAGCATATTCTACGTGACACTTAAAATGGAGTAAGTATTTTAACGAAAGAAAATAATTTTTTTGTGGAGAATTTAAATAATTTAATCAAACTCATTGTTTATATGTAAAAAATGGAGAACTATTAAAATATGTAAATTTTCAAAATATTTTATTTAAGTTAAATTTTAAAAAAATTTAATGACATTAAAAAGTAAAAAATTTAAAAATACTTTTATACTACATATAATGAGAATATTAAATTATTTATTATTAATTTTTAAATTTTACAAAACAGCCCTCGTAGTTTATGAGAATTACAAATTTATTTTTAAAATTTTTAAAAAATTGAAAATAAGTCTCTAATAATTTTTAAAATTTACAAATTAGTCCCTTGGAATTATAAAAAATTACAATTTAGTCCATATTTTTCATATTTTAAATTTAATCCAAAAGTTTAAAATTTTATAAAAATAATCCAAAAAAATTAACAATAAATCATTTTAATACTTCATCCAAACAAAAGAATTTAAAAATGAATGGATTTCAATTGAATCATTTGAGTTGTTTAGAATTTTAAATTTTAAAAAAATTCTCAATCACCTCATTCAAACGCACTCTTAGATCGTGTGTTTGGATGAAACATTTTAATGAGAAAAAATATTTTTTTTAGAGAATTTAAAATAATTTGATCGAAATCAATTGTTTGGATAAAAAAATATAGAGAATTGTTAAATAATATAAATTTATGAAATATTTATTCAAGTTAAATTTAAAAAATTTAAATGACACCAAAATGTAAAGAATTCAAATTATTTATTCACTCTATATAATGTGAATGCAAAATTGTTTATTATTAATTTTTTAAATTTTGCAAAATGGTACTCATATTTTATGAAAATTTTAAATTCACCCCTAAAATATTCATAAAATTGCAAATAAATTCCTCATAATTTTACAATTAGATCCTTCAAATTTTTAAAAATGACAAATTGATCTATATTTTTTTATATTTTAAATTTGGCCAAAAAATTTTAAAGTTATGAAAATGATTCCAAAATTTTTACAACGAATTATTTTAATACTTTATCCAAACAAAAATATTTAAAAATAATAAATTTAATTTGATTATTTAAATTGTTTAAAATTTTGAATTCTTTTAAAAATTTCAATTACCTCATCCAAATACATTTTTAGAGTAAATTTCTAATTTAAATCATATAAATCATGAAAAAAGTATCTTAAATATAAACATATAAAAAGGTTTGAAAATAATTTAGTTAAAAAAATTTTATTAGAAAACAAAATTGATTCTTACAAATTATGTGTTAATTATATTTTAAAACCTGTGCACCTTAATTGAATGTAAACAAGAAAAGATCATTGTGCCCCCTCTAATATAGTTTTCTGCTTATAAAAAAAAAGAAAAAAAATCAAAGTTGTACATTAATTGTTTGCTGCCTTATTGTAATTGCAATCATTGCAGGCAAATTTCAAGAGTTTATCAATTACAATTATGGGATTGTTCTTTGCTTTGACAACTCCGGTAGGTATTGGAATTGGCATAGGGATCAGTAGTGTTTATGATGAGAACAGTCCAACAGCCCTTATAGTTGAAGGAGTCTTCAATGCAGCTTCAGCTGGGATCTTAATCTATATGGCACTTGTAGATCTTCTTGCTGCTGATTTTATGAATCCAAGGATGCAAAAGAGTGGTAAACTTCGATTAAGCTGCAATGTATCTCTTCTATTAGGAGCTGGTGCTATGTCTCTTATAGCTAAATGGGCTTGAGTGTTTATATAATTTCTTTTTTAGTTTTTCATTTTCTTTCAAAAATTTTCATTCTCTTATAATTTTTATTTAAAGTGCCTTTGAATCGCATTATATTTATATTTAGAGAAATTTCTAAAATATTAAATTGATAAATAATAATGATTAAATTAATAAAATGAATGATCAAAAGTTACAACTGTTTAGAATTAATTCAGAGACCTTATTGTGATAGAGTGCGTGGTCATAAGGTGTCACCACCAGACCAACACAATTTTTTATGAAATGGTTTGTTATTATATTATTGATATATAATGGTTCGCGAATGGTCATGTTTAAATCATCGAAACATTGTTTATATATCCTCATCAATTGGTACAAGTTTTTCTATAAATAGATATACTTGTTAGGCATAAAATAGACACAAAAATTACTTGTTTCAAGTGTCAAAAATTATATCTAAGTCATTCTCTTATTTTTCTAGTGCACAAGAATAAATAATGTAACTTTATTCCGCAAAATATCGTTGATCGATATGCTTAATGTGAATATGTGATTCATGTTAAGATTTCCAAAGTATCCTGAGGGGGATTCGCCGGTTAACCTATTTGCACCCAATTTGTCTAAATTGGTGGGGGTGAATCGAACCTAAAGTTTAGTGTAAACACACGCTTTGTAATTTATTTTGTGCAACTTTCATCGTACTGTTTTCATTTTCTTCTTATTCATATTTTGCAACAGACCCCAAACACAAGATCTAACAATTATGGTGTTAAAATTAGATTAGCGTCTCTTTAATGAGTGATGTTTTGACCATCTACGATATATTCCAAGGGTATATAGTCCATTTGGCTAGATGAGGTGGGAGAGTTTTGGTTGTTTGATATTTTAACGATGTTTAAATTTGAGGATCCTTTATTCTTTAATCGTAGTATAATTCATTTATTTTGCTATGTATCTCTTCATTCAAAGTGTGATTGAAAAAGGAGATGTGTAGTTAGTTTTCTACAGTTCACAAAAGCAGTTTGCAGGCATTTTTACTAAAGCACTACTAAGAGGAAGATTTCAGCAACTTAGAGAAGCAATGAGAGTTAAAGAACAACACATTAAGGGGGAGTGTTAAAATTAATGTATTGTAACCACCACTATCTTTAATAAGCATTATGAGAGAATTGTAATCATCACATTATAATTATTGTCTTTACTTAGATTTATTGTAGAGTTGTATCATTAAGATTAAAAGAACTAAAGAGTCCTCATCTTAATTACTAATTTATTGTATTCTCTATCAGTTTCCTTCAAGCCTATATAAAGGCTTTATAATGCTAAGTTGTATGCAAGCAAGAAAAAAGAGAAAAAAGTGTGTGGTGAATTGAATAAAATCAGAGTACTTTAAAGTATAACTTCCACCCGTGGAAATTCAGTACAAAACGTGACTAAAAAATATTTTTACTCTAAATTCTGCAACAATATATTTTATCACATACCACCTCTAGAATACCACCAACAGTGTGGTATCAGAGCTACGGATCATTGTAGCTGCAGCAAAAACAACAAAAATTATGGCTTCCACAACTTCCCTCCTGGAACCTTGGCCACAGTCAAGAGTTCCTCAATTTCTTTAGGGGAACTATGAATGCTCTGATTTCATTCTCGTCAGGATACGTAGACACGAGATGTGATGTCTTGGCGAGCATACTTAGGACTAACACCTTAGGTATCCCTTTTCTTTAAACCCTTTAGAAAACAAAAATAACGATAACACAATAAAACAAGAGGTTCCTGTAGAGTACTATAGATACTTAGGATGTTAGCACCTTCCCTAGGTATAACCAACCCCGAACCTTAGATTCTCTTTTGCTTTGTTTTTTCATTGCATGTTTATGGTTTATTCGTTCTTTTTCCTCTCTCTCAGATAAATTAAAGATCGATGGTGAAAAATGATTTGTGATTCAAGTTAATAAATAGCTTGGTATCCGATTCTCATCGCGACAGAAATGGCGACTTCACTGGGGAATAACACCTTGGGTCTCCCTTTTCTTTAAACCCTTTAGCAAACAAAAATTACGATAACACAATAAAACAAGAGGTTCCTGTAGAGTACTATAGATACTTAGGATGTTAGCACCTTCCCTAGGTATAATCAACCCCGAACCTTAATTCTCTTTTGCTTTGCATTGCATATTTATGGGTTTATTCGTTATTTTTCCCTTCCCTTTGGTAAATTAAAGATTGATGGTGAATTAAGATTTGTGATTCAAGTTAATCAATAGCTTGATATCTGATTCTCACCGCGATAGAAATGACGACTTCACTAGGGAGAGAGTACTGGGCATACAACCTTTAGTCACTATTCTGAAGGAAAGTTTACCCAAGGGGAACCCACTCATAAAGCTTCATGGAGCAAACAAGGTATGCAACCTAACCCACTCATAAAGCAAGACAATATATAATTTGGATCAACTTGAACAAGAGAACCGAATGCTCGTGATGAAGTCACTACTCTGAAGGAAAGTTTAGAAAGGCTTAATGGGTTGGTTGAAGCACTGTTAAATCAATCAGCGCACAACACTCAAGAAAACACTCATGAACGTCATGTCCATAAAAGTTTCATGGAATTCAAAGATTTTGTTTACAAACATCATAGTTTTTACTATTGGATTTTGAAATTATACTCTATCTTCAATAAAATGAGATTTTCAGTTATCAAAAGTATTATCCATTTTGTGGTGTTTGCAAACGTAACCTTTGAGTTTTTTGAAATCCATCTGCATTCGTCATTAGCATTGCATTCTTTGCATCCCAGGTTCTCACTCTTTCTTCTTTCTTCAGAGGAGACAAGCTAATTCATCAGTGTGATACTCAGGCCAATCAAAGAAAGAAGATAATAGAGCAAGAAAAACATGAAGTTCGTAAGGAAGTAACTGCTTTGAGGGATGGTGTGAAAAAGCTCTTGCTTTGGTTGAAACTCTAGTTTCTACTCAAAATCAACCTTCTCCTCGTATTGCTCAGACTTCGCTTCAAAGGACCGTGATTTCCGAAATCATGTCAATGCCCATTCTTGTGACTCCCATTAGTGCTTCTAACAACTCTAAGAAGCTTGTGGAAGGTTTACCCAAGGAGAAGGAACAAGCTTCTAATGCTATTTCACGAGAGAAACATGGAGGATCTCGTAACAAAAGTAAACAACACGTGGATCAGTTTGACCCAATCCCGATGGCCTATTCTAAATTATATCTTGCTTTAGTAAAGAAAAATATGGTGCAAACAAGAACTTCGCTGGCTATCCAAAGGATATCCCATGGTGGTTTAAGTATGATCATTTTTGTCCATTTCATCAAGGGGCACCCGGTCATAATATTGAACATTGTTTTGCTTTGAAATCTGAAGTACAAAAGTTAGTGTAAAGCGGCATTTTGTCTTTTGAAAATTCCGGACCTAATACCTCAACAAGTCTATTACCCAAATATGGAAACATTGTGGAAGGATGCCTCGGAGAATACTGTATTTCTGACGTGAATTCAATGAGAGGGTCTTTAGTGGATATGCACGTCGATTTGTGTAAGCTTACCCACTATGAGCATAATCACGCTTCCTGCAAAAAAATTCAAAGAATTCTCGTGGATGTTCTGTTGTGAAGAGGGATCTCCAAAATATGTTGGATCAAAAACTTCTCCATATCACTAGAGAAAGGGTGAACGTCATAGTTCCATGTTTTAGTATGCCAGAACCAATGGTAATTACGTGCAATAGTAAGAAATACTCTCATGTGCCTTGTGGAAGCGAAGCTACTATACTGGAAAGTGGTAAGAAAGATCATATTTTTGCTGCTCCTGCAGCTTAGATCATTCTGAATTGTCAATCACAACTTCATCAGAAAACACATCAGAGTCATGCCCAAAGGAAATTTGATCCAATCCCAACGACTTACAGTCAATTATGGTTTTGTTTTGCCCGAAACTCGATGATGACACCCAAAAAGACCAGAGCCATGAAATCTCGCCCTCTTTGGTTCAATCCAGATACCAGTTGTGAATTTCATGATGGAGAAGTGGGGCATTCAATTAAGGAGTGCAAGGTTTTCCAGGAAAAAGTCTAAGAGATGATCAACGATGATGTGCTGACCTTCAAAGGAGGAAGCCCAATTATAAATGGAACACCTTTATGCTGATGGATATGAAGACTAAAGAGATTCCTTCCAAGCCGATGACATTAGGAGGAGAACTCATTCCCAAGATCATCAGGCTATTTGTTTTTTTGCTTGCATTTGTTATTATTTCTTTGATTATAAAAGCATGATTTGCATGTAAGAACTTGTTTGTTTTAAATGATTAATGCAATAAATATGTTTGTCTTGAAGAAATCCATTTGTATTCACTCATAAAATGCTTTTCATGTTTTATAATGTCAACTTTACCCAATCTCTTGCTTTGATAGAGAATTGGGAGGAGGATGACGAAATCAAAAACTCAAGATCTCTTGTCGTATGCTTTTGAGTAAAACCCGACTGATGATGTAAGACATTGTTTCAAATCCTCAAACACTGGAGATATAAGGGAGATACAACTTTTGAACCCCTTTGAGCCTTCAAGTAGGAGTTTTATTTTCCTTACATACAAAAAGCCATCAATTTTTACTTGGGGCAGGGTAGTTTTCAATTAAACTGATCGAGCGCCCAGACTCTCAAAAAGGAGGAGTAAACATTCGAGAATCCATTTTATCTATTCCTCACAATTATGAGGCTGGAAGTAAAAAAAACCACAATGATTATCCCTCGAGCATCTAAAGAGTGAGACAGTCACAATCCTTTCAAAAGAGTCAAAATAACGTAGAGTCACACGACTTGTTCATAAATAATAAAAAAATGAAAAAAGAAAAAGTCCGCTAAGTCAAAACCTATGAAGGAGAATGAGGCAAAATTGAGGCATCTCGCTAGACCCCAAAGTCAAATCGAAGAGACTCGGTCCAAGAAAAAGTTAGGGAATGAAATGCGAAAAGCAAAAAAATAAATATCACAAAGA